CCGTAGAACGATCACAATGGCTGTCCCACGTGCGAGTGCTCCGAGCCGTGCGAGGGCTTCAAGTGCTCGATGGGCTCCCACTGCGAGGTGGCCACCGATCCGCTGTGCGAGTCCGGCTCCTCCCTGTGCGCCTCGTGGCCCGTGTGCAAGCCCGATCTGGCCTACTCCAATCCCTGTGATGTGGGCACTCCGCTGTCGGACGCGGCCACCGGCGAGGTGATGTACTGCTTCGAGGAGGAGGAGGAGCAGCGTCAGGGACGCAGCTTCCAGCCGACGGCCTTCTTTGAGCCGGAGCCCGAGGCGCTGACGAAGCAGGGCCGCGCCATGAGCAACCGCATCATGTGTCCGGCGGAGTACAAGTGCACGAAGCTCCATCGGGAGACGGAGAGCGTCTGCTGTCCGCTGCCGGAGCAGACCACAGCCCCAGAGGGCGCAGCAGGAGCGCGTCAGCAGAGCAGTAAGTGCCACAGCCAATCCCAGCCAATCCCCCAAAGCGAAGGCATCTCATCCCATGTCCCTTTCCTTACTTGCAGTGTGCGAGTATCTGAGGGACTTCTCGGAGCGCATGGAGGGCACCGAGGAGGGCATGCAGCTGGCTGTTCCCGCGCCCCGCTGCACCGACGACGGCGACTACAGCGGACGCCAGTGCCAGCTGCGCACGATCCGTGTGACCAGGGCCGAGCAGCGGAGGATTCTCGAGGAGAACACCATCAGGCGCATGCGAATGCTGCTGGCCCAAGCGCCCAAGCGTACGCGTCGCGATGCCGAGCGCCTGAAGCTGTACCGCGTGGATGACAGCGCCCTCAAGGTGCAGGCGGCGGCCGCCGTGATGGGCCGCAGCGCCAAGGTCATCGATGTGGGCGCCGAGCGGCAGCAGGGACTCGGCCAGCTGTTCGAAACGGAGTTCAAGAAGGTGGCCTCGGCCGCCAAGCGACCGCTGGAGTCCGAGGCGGATCTCGTCGAAATGGAGGTGGAGCAGTGCTGGTGCGTGGACAGCTTCGGCACGGAAATACCGCGCTCGCGCGGATTCAATGTGAGCGACGCCAGCTGCCAGCAGCTGCGCGAGGAACTCGACTGCTTGGACCTCACCTGCCGCATGGGCTGCGAGTACGGGTTCGCCCTGGACGCGGACACACGCTGCCCCGCCTGCCAGTGCCGCGACCCGTGCGAGAATGTCAGCTGCGGCCGTGGCAAGGAGTGCCGCATCGTGGACGTCAGCTGCGAGGGCGAGTACTGTCCTCCGGTGCCGGCCTGTCTGCCCCGGAAGCCCGGTCAGTGTCCGTATCTGGTGCCGCCGGGACCCGACAACCTGGACGCCAATACGTGTGCGTATGAGTGCCGCACGGACGCCCACTGCGACGGATCGCTGCGCTGCTGCTCCAACGGCTGTGGCACGCAGTGCGTGGAGCCGCAGCTGAAGACCGCCTGCCAGCACCTGCAGGGCATCCAGCTGCACCAGAGCGCCGAGCTGGGCATACCCGCCCGCCAGATGTCCGTGGCACAGTGCGACCTGAAGAGCGGCATGTGGGAGCAGGTGCAGTGCTCCCCCGACGGCCACTGCTGGTGCGTGGATGAGCAGGGTGGGATTATGCCCGGCACCAGAGTCAAGTCGCCCGCCACACCTGCCTGCCAGGTGAACTCCAGCCGCGCCTGTGCCCCGCTGAGCGCGGCCACGTGCAGCCTGCAGTGCGAGAGTGGCTACCAGATGGATGCCGCGGGCTGTGCCACGTGCCAGTGCCGCAGCTTCTGCGACGAGGTGAGCTGCGCCAGCGACGAGGAGTGCCAGCTGATCAGCGTCGAGTGCGTGGACAGTCCCTGCCCCAAGATGCCCATCTGTGTGCCGCGCCGCTCCTCCGTCTGTCCCGAGGGCAGTCCGCTGCAGCAGGGCGACCTGGACGTGAGCTGCGGGCCCCACAACGAGCACGAGGCCTGCCCCACCACCCACTCGTGCCAGCTGAATCCCGTCAGCAATCGCGGCGTCTGCTGCTCCAAGACGCGCGACGTCTGCTTCGAATCGATGGACAGTGCGTGCCTGGCCAGCGGCAGTTCCGCGAGGAACAGCACTCGCCACAGGTTCAGTCCCAAGCTCAACAAATGCGTCGCCGTAGCCATCGATGCGGATGCGGCTGCCTGCCAGACGAAGAATCTCTTCCACAATGAACTCGCCTGCAACTCCGTGTGTCCAGGTGAGGCATCTATCAAGGCTAATCCCATTGGCTTCCTCATTCTCATCCTTTCTCTCTCTCCTTTTGCAGTTCTAACCCAATGCGAACGCTTGAAGCTGAAGAACAGCCTGGCTGCCCAGCGCACTGGCCACTCCTCGGTGTGGTTCCAGCCCCGTTGTGATCCCATCACCGGCCACTGGAGTCCCGTCCAGTGTTTGGGCAAGCAGCCACAGCCACAGCCACAGTTATCGGCCCTCAGGCCTGTCCCCCAAACGGAGATCGTGAGTCGCGCGTTTGCGGCAGAGGAGCAGCAGCAGGAGCAGCAAACAGCTGCTGCTGCCAGTCCGTATGGCGTCTGCTGGTGCGCGGACAAGAAGGGCGCCCCACTGAAGGGCACGCTCACCCGCGAGATCGAGCCCGTCTGCAACAGTCGCCAGGCCCGCAATCGCAAGAACTTCGACATGGGCGATCCGCTCATGGAGCAGCTCATTGGACAGCTAACCCAGCTGAATGATGTGGCCAGCGAGGATCTGGACTTTGATGAGCTGGAGGCCAGGATACTGCCGCCAGCGACGGCCAGTGCGGCCGAGTCCAGTGTCACCGAACGGGTCCTGGAGCTGGCCAACTCCCTGCTCGACTCGCAGCTGTCCGTGGAGCAGCCCGCGCTGAAGCCCATGCAGCTGAAGACCACCCGCTGCCGGGCCCTGGCCCAGACGGCCACCTTTCCCGTGAGCTGTGACGAGGCCGGAGCCTTCCGGCCGCTGCAGTGCAACGGCCGGAGCTGCTGGTGCGTCGATGCGGCCGGCAATCAGCTGCAGGCCACCCATGTGTTTGGAGCGGGCGATCGGCGGTGCAGCCACGTGCCCATCGAGGCGGTGGCCATTGAGCTGCACATGACCAACAGCAGTGGGCGGAGCGTGAGGAATGCCTACGACACCATTCGCATGGAGCTGCAGCAGCTGCTGGGCGAGGCCGTGGAGAATCTGCGCGTCCAGGAGAACTTTGACGGCTCGGCGATCGTGCGCTTCGAGCTGCACAACGACTCCAAGGTGGATCTGGCCTTTGCCATCGAATCGGCCATCACAGCGGGAGAGTTCCACTTGGCCGGGGGTCACTTCCGGCCGGATCTGACGCGTTCGCACTTTGTGCACCGCAGTGCTGTGCCGGCCGTGGCCCAGGCAGCCACCGCCCAGGACGAGTCCATCCAGCTGGTGCTGTTCATCATGGCCACCAGCTCCGCGTTCCTGGTCAGCGTGTTCGTCGTCTATGTGATGCTGAAGCGTGGCAGGAGCAGCAAAACGATGCACTCCTCCTATCCGCATGGCGACAAGGCCGTCGACTATTCGGCGCCCATATTCGTGCTGGCGGCCAGCGGCATGGAGCCCCATGGCATGGATAGTATTAAGGGGGCCAAGGCGTAGGGCAGACAGACACGCAGGCACGCTTGTTGGTTGTTAAGCTACATCTACATCTAGATCTATATATCTAAATAAATTTGTATATAAAAATAACACAGAGCAGAGCTTAGGATTTACCTTTAGGCAGGGCTAGCATCGAGCATGCCCACGACACGGGAGATTCGTTCGCTCTGCCCCGCGACTAAGCCAAACGGGGAGCCGAGCCCCCGACTATCGCTTACTTATCGAATATGTTCTAGCACCCTAAGACGATTAATTTATGAATAAAGCTTTAAAATCGAAGCATCTTTTTGTGTTCACTGTGTGATGGATTCAAGATAATGCAGCTCAATCGAATGCTACCTATAGCTATGCTTTTTTAGCCCATAAAAGAGACAGCAACAGTCGTGAAGTAACTCCATTACTCGTATGATGTTTTCTTCAAAATTAAATAGGTAGCCCATGGAAATATATCTTCAAAACAAATAATGCTCAGAAATTTATGGGAAGGTACTCGCAGTTGGATAACCATATAAGCAATTAAAATAATTATAACCTTTCCATGCTTATAATTAATAAGGAAAATTAGAGATAATAAAGGAGAGTGTGGTACACACTATAATCGATGGTACATCGCATTCTCTTATAACACTTCAAAAAGTAAACCTTCATTTTTTGTCAGCAAACAATTTTTGATTTTAATGTTTAATAATACACATTGGGCGCACATTGCGCTGTACTCGTATTTGTATAATCGTATAATGATCAGTGATCGATGATCGTTATCCTTACGGGGCTTAGCTTGATGAAACAAACGTACAACTTTAATCAATATTCAATTCAATTTTGGCTTCATTTCACGTGCAGTTCGAACTCAGTTATGCATTTTGCATTTGTATAATTTTTTGTGTATGTGTGTGTGTGGAGTACTATATATTTAATATGTTCTTCATATGTATGTCGTATATGTGTGTAGTATGTGTATATTATATATATATCAATATCGTAGCTATATGCTAAACCACAAGCGTCAGGCCATAAAGAGAAACCTGAACAGCTCTTATTCTCTCTCTTCTGAATTTTGTTTTCTTTTTAATATTGTAAAAAAAAATTGTAAGAGCTTCTCCTCGCGTATAGAAAAATGCAATACTCATGGGGTTACAATTGGAACGTTCTTTTGATTAGTTTTGTGGTTTTTGTTGTTTTTGTTTTTGTTTTTAGAAAAATGCATTGCTTATATGTGTATATCGTTTTGATTAATTAAATAGTAAATAGTAAAACTTAAGAGTTAGGCTTGAAATGTTAGAAAGTGTAATGTAATATTTTGAGCAAATCGGGAATCGGCTTAAGCTATAAAGTGTTTTGTTTTTTTGTTTTTCTTTTTTGCATGCAATTGAAACATTTTTAATATCTTTAAACTCGTGTATTGTATTGTAGTATCGTATTGTATTGTATATTGTGTGCAATATCAACGCTAAACTTTGCATGAATCTAATGATCGAATGATTGAGTGATGGATGATGAACGGGTGGATGGGGGGGCCGAAAGTTGCCCGGAAGTTTGCTCTCATTTTGTCTCTCTAATATTTGGTTACTTTTGTTAGTCGCTATTCTTCATAAATAAATGGTTTTTGTTTTCTTTTTTTATGTGTATAAATCTTATAAAAGAACAAAAAGGGTTAGCACGGCCCTAAATCATTGCCCCAAAAATGACGCAGAAATGGCCGTAAAATGTAAAATGTTACGTATAACAAATGAATCAGGAGTCAGTAATCCGGAATCAGATGGAGCTGCTGCCGCTGCTGCTGATGCTGCAAGGAATGGACTGATAGGATTGAGTTTTTGGATTTTGGACTTTTTTTTGGACATTATCTCCACTGCATTTACTTGGCAGCACCGCCGGCTGCTCCATTGTTGTTCCGATTGTTGTTTTGGTTGTTGTTCGCATTCCGGAAGCCGCCGAACGGTATCGACGCCCGCTGATCCTCCATGCGTCCGCTCTGCACCTTCATGATGAGCGAGAAGAAGTCCTCGTCGGGCACCGTGGCCCCACGTCCGGCCTGTGCCTCGGGCGCCTGCTGCTGCGGGGCCTCCGCATCCATTGTCACGTTTGGACGCGGCAATTCCGAGCGCTGCTCCTCCAGTCGCGAGCCCTGGCAGCGCATGAGCATGTCGAGGAAAGCCTCATCCGGCTGCGCCGTGGTGGTGGCACTCCTGGTCAGCGGTGCATGGGCCATGGCACTAGCATTGCCCGACGACGGCGACTTCAGGCCAGGCAGATTCGTGGGGTCCACAAACAGAGAGTTCTGCTGCACCAGCGGCTTGCGTGTGGCTCCTCCTGTGACGGCTCCAGCCACTGACGGACCATTCGGATTGATCTTGATCGAGCAGCGCTGGTCGTCCATGCGCTTTGACTGCGATCGCGATAACATCTCGAAGAAGTCATCGTCTTTGGCCTTTGTATTCTTGTTGGCAGCAGACGCCGCCCTGTGCTTCTCCTCCTGCAGCCGCTTGCCATCCGGCGTGATTTTGATCAGATCCAATTGCTCCATGCTCTGGCGACGTACGCGTATCTAAAAACAGAGATTAAATCGTGTTTAGTGTAAGGGTAAGCTGAACATCTTCCTTTTTGCCACTCACCATTCTGCCCTGCGAGTTCTCTGATCCGTCCGACTGATGTGAGTGATCCGAGGCACTCGAACGCTCCTCCTCTGTGGGACTCCGCTCGGTTTCTGGCAGGCCCAGAAGCTTGCGCAAATCGGAGATATTCACACGAGCCGTGCTCTCGCCCACGGGATCGTGCAGCTCTTTGGCCAACTGTAGATGCGATTCGGCATACTGCAACGATCGCTCATTGTTGCCCATGGCGGAGTGGGCATTGCCCAGGGACCAGCAGGCACGGGCCTCGCCAATGCGATCGCCCAGCTCCTGGGCAATGGCCAGATGTCGATTGTGGAACTCCACGGCTGTGTTGAATTCGTGCAGCAGGGTGTACGTGTTCCCGAGGCTGTAGCACGACTGGGCCTCCACCTCGCGCTCGCCCAGCTCCACGGCCAGGGCCAGGGTGCGACGATAGTGCTCGGCGGCGTCCTCGAATTGCCCGAGGAAGATGTGAGAGTTTCCCAGGTTGCTGTTGGCCCTGCGCTCGGCCGCCCGATCGCCAAACTCCCTGGCGATGCGCAGCCGCTCCTGGTGATGCTCGATGGCCGCCTGGAAGTCGCCCAGGAGGTAGTACGTGTTCCCCAGATTACCGCACGCCCTGCCCTGGGCACCGCGATCCCCCAGATCGCGCATTAGCTTGAGGTTCTCCTGGTAGAACTCCACGGCCTTGGCCAGGGCCTCCTTCACATCCTCGCCGAACTTGCCAGGATTCCGCTGGCCCATGTGCTTGCCCTTGGCGTGATAGACATTGCCCAGATTGTAGAGGGCCCTTCCCTCGGAGAGTCGGTCGCCCAGCTGGCGGGCGAGGGTCAGGTGTCGATCACAGCAGATGGCCGCTTCATCGAAGCGTCCCATCACCTTCAGAGTGTTGCCGAGATTTCCGGAGGACTTGGCCTCGCCCAGCTTGTCGTTCATGGACTTGGCCAGCGTCAAGTCGTGCTTGTGGTACTGCATGGCCTTGGAGTAGTCACCCAGGTAGAAGTAAGCGTTGCCCCAGCTGCGAGTAGATGGCGGATAGGGTGCGCAGATCCTCGGTGCCCGCCTGAATGGCGGCCTGGAAGAAGGCCACGCCTGCCCGACAGTCGCCCGCCTTGCAGAGGCGCTCCCCCTCCAGGGCCAGCTCCAGGCACATGCTGGAGCCCCCATCCGAGCCGAGATGCGAGTTGGAGTCGTGGCCACCGCTGATCCCAAGCGTGGATACGTTTTCCGCGGACGCGGACAGCGAGGACATGTCTCTGTGTGATGCGATGCTATCAAAATTAGGGAGTTGTCCACTTTGCACTTGCTTTCCCGTAGCACACACGTTGGCTGCAGGTCTTTAACGGGCACCTGACACAAGCGGAGAGAGTTTGGGCCCAATATTCAAAGCCTAAATTGCTATAATTAATGTCTTTTGTACCGTTTTGTGCAATTATTTCTTTAATTTCATTCTGATTCACTTTTTAGTGTGGCCAAGTCTTAAAATGGCAGACTGTATAAAAGTCGTGTTTGCCCATTCAGGGATGCCAGATAGCCAGAAAACTGTAAATATCACGCGGTATATTTTATCGGTAAGTCCACGGTCACACTGGTCGCTGTCGCCATCTTAAATTTTCACGCAACGCCGCAAAAAATATATTTATTTCGTAAATTAGAATATAAATTGTGCTCGAAATTGTATAAACTTGGGTATATTGCGCAAAGCAAGCCTAGAACGTGTCGGTTTTTAAAACACAATGAGCACACCGCCGCCAGATTTACTATTGGCTGTGGCGGGCAGAGATGCTTCATCCGCAGCAGCCAATGGCGGCAGCAGCAGCCGTGGCGTTGATAAGGAGCGCTCACGTTCCAAAGACCGCAGCCGCGACAAAGAAAAGGACAAGGAACGTGACAAGAAGCGAAGGTGAGTGTAGGCCCCATTCTGCCGTGCTGTGCTGTGCCGTTATGTAACTAACACGTTTCCTTGCAGAGACCGGGACAGCAAGGACCGAGACAGTCGCCGGCGGGATAGTCGGGACCGAGACCGCGATGTACGCGACAGAGATCGGGATCGGGACCGTGACAGGGATCGTGAGCGCGATTCCCAGACGAATCGAAGCCGGTCCCGAAATCACGATGAGGCGAATAGGCGGCGGAAGCGTTCCCGCAGCAGGGAGCGCGAAAGCAAGCGAGATCGGGACCGTGACTCTCGATCCAGGCGCAGCAATTCCCGTGGCGGTCGCGACGACTTCAATCGGAATCAACGGCGGCGGTCACGCAGTCGTAGCTATGAGCGGCGGCGTAACGATCGTGGGGGCGGCAGGGATCAGCAGAGAAACAGTCGCGAGAGGGGCAGTCGGGAACGAGCCCATGTGAACCCCTTCGACACGTCCAACAATCGCAACTCGGTGAGCCGTGATCTGGAGGTGCGTATACCCTCGTTGTTTGAACGGCCACAGCACTCGCTGGACCCGATTCGGGAGGAGCCGCGCGAATCGCGATTCGATCTCTCGCAGACGCTACAGGAGCTAATGGGCAACGCGGGCGGCAACAAGGGATTCGCCTCGTTCTTCAACAATCAAAATAGCAATGATTCCATGAGCAATGGAGCCCTGGACAATCCATGTGAGTGCAAATGAACCTTTTAGCATCCCTTGAATAATTGAATAATTTGCTTAACTTTTCAATCCTGCAGTTGACAGCGCAGCGGAAAGGAAGCGCAAGCGCAAGTCCCGATGGGGCGGCACTGAGAACGACAAGACTTTCATACCGGGAATGCCTACCATTCTGCCCTCGACGCTGGACCCCGCTCAGCAGGAGGCCTACTTAGGTAATGCCAACATTCATGCTGCTTTCCATTCGAAACTAAGTTAGCTCGTAAGCACTGCAATTAGTTTATAAGTCTAATGACAACCACAAATTAAGGATGAGGAGCAGAAAACAGAGAATAGTCGTCGATAGAGAGCAATCCACGCATCAGAGACGTGCAGACGGGGACGTGCAGCTGGCGAGAGAGAGCGTAAACAACCACAACCTAAATAAGCAAAAAAAATCCACCAAAAATTGCATTGAGCGAACTATAATAATCTCTCGTTCTCTTTTTGAAGGGGATTCCGGCGTGCCACACACAAATGATACGAAACGAAACGACGTGTTCCCAAAACGGCTAGAATACATATAAATACATATACACTCGTATATGTGCAGTTAATATTTGCAGAGATTAATTAAAACCCAAATCAAACTCAATCAATTAATTAATTAATTAATTTGCTTGTAACCGCTCACAGCATTTTCAGTTAGTTTAGGAACGGATACACAAATGCGATAAAACGCCACTCTCTCTAGCTACCTTATTCCCCCCACCCCACTTAATACCGATATCTTTCCTCTTCTCTAGACAATCCAGCATTTGACGTTTACTAATGTCGAGGTTGCACTCGATTTTCTTCCTTCTTTTCTAACGCCTTTTACTTGCAGTTCAATTCCAAATTGAGGAGATTAGCCGCAAGCTGCGCACCGGCGATCTGGGCATCACACAGAATCCGGAAGAAAGGTTTGAGCACTGTTATCTCTTTGTATCTCTCTGTCCATGCCTCCCACTTGCAAGCCAAAGAACATTCAACACTCTCCACCCTCCACCACCCCGATCAGAAGTTCTACTTGTCTGGAAGGATGCGACGCCGGGATCTAATCTTAACGTGATTTGTACAGGTTTCATTTGGTAGCATTTCGATACATTGGGAGGTGTTCACATATTCAGATCTATTAACAGTCATTATTTAGCATGTACTCGAGCATTCGAAATTTCTTATAATTTAAGGGGTTTGATCACTCCCAATTGTATAGCCAACAACTCGAAGCTATTAATGGAGAGCAGTGTGAACCCTAGCTAAATGTTGAACTTAACTTAAAATCCTTTAACTCCTTGGGTGAAGCAATATGTATGTAGTATGTACGAGTATATCCGGATGGTTCATGAGAGGAGTGGGGCTGCTTGGAGGTGGCTAACCAAAAGAACGCTGGTGGTCTGTGCCTTTGTAGTTAATTTCGTTGTTGAAATGTAATGTTTTGTGTAATGTTAATAATTGAAACTCTTCAAGGGCTTTTCCGATTTTGGAGACAGCGATCAAATCGTTGATTGATTGATTGATTGATTGATTGATTGATTGGCTGATTGATTCGATTCCCAGCAGCAAATGTAAATCGTAAGCAAAAAGGCGCCTGGAAACAATCGGGAATAGACTCAACATTGATAATAAATTCCAACTCTTTTTCTCTTCCACCAAAGCGAATTTCGAATTTCTGCTAAAGAAATCCATGAGAAACTTTTACAGAGGGGTGCGGTGCGCTCTCCAAGCTCCAGCCAGTACAGATCCGTACCGATCTGTACCGATCCGATCCGAATAGGCCAGGCCGCAACCGAATCGAACGAATTAATCAAAATTCTTCTTTTCTCAATTCCCCAGCGAATAATCTCTTTCTGCTAATCAAAACTTTGCTAATGAACATCACTTGATTAATGAATTCTGATTTGCAACTTACAGCCACAACCTATGTACATGATATATACGACATTCGATATACGATAAACGTTATTTTCTCTTAGTAGTAATAATTACAATAAGATCATTAAGTCTAGCTCCAAGAATCAATCCTCCAGCATAGTCGAAACAGTACAGTCTCAACAGAACAGTCTCTTCCTTCTGCTCTGCTCACCCACAGATCTCCATCGCCGGAGCCCATATACAGTTCTGATGGCAAGCGCCTGAATACACGTGAGTTCCGCTACAGAAAGCGGCTGGAGGAACAGCGTCACCAGCTGATTGTCAAGATGCAGGCCGTGAATCCAGAATTCAAGCCGCCAGCGGATTACAAGTGAGTAGCAGATTCGTCCTCGTCCATTCAACTTTACTTTTATGCTTCTACATATCTATCTGTTTTTAAAATTTATTTTTAGACCGCCTGTGACCCGAGTCAGCGACAAGGTGTTGATACCACAGGAACAGCATCCAGATATCAATTTCGTGGGCCTGCTGATCGGTCCGCGCGGCAACACGCTCAAGGCTATGGAGAAGGATACGGGTGCGAAGATCATTATACGCGGCAAGGGATCGGTGAAGGAGGGCAAAGTGGGACGCAAGGATGGCCAACCGTTGCCGGGAGAAGATGAGCCGCTGCACGCGTTCATTACGGCTCCCAATCCGGAAGCGGTGAGGAAGGCTGTGGACAAGATCAAGGATGTTATACGTCAGGGCATTGAGGTGCCGGAGGGCCACAACGATCTCCGTCGCATGCAGCTCCGCGAGCTGGCCCAGCTCAATGGAACGTTGCGGGAGAACGACATACTGCGCTGCACGTGCGGATCCACGGACCACAAGTCCTGGCAGTGTCCCGACAAGCCAATAATAACCAACACGATTGTGTGCACCTCCTGCGGCGGCACCGGACACTTGACCAAGGACTGTCGCAACAAGCGACCTGGTTCTGGCGCCCCGGGCATGGCCTGTGAGGACTCGCAGGCCAAGATTGATGAGGAGTACATGAGTCTAATGGCCGAGCTGGGCGAGGGTCCACCGCCAGCTGCGTCGAAGCCAGAGCCACCGGCCGCTCCTCAACTGCATCGCGCGAGCTACAGCATCTTTGACAAGAAGCCCTCGCAGATGCAGGCCATCCAGTCACCACCTAGCTCCTCGTCCCGTGATCACCAGCGCGATCTGGGCGGATGGGGAGCGGCGGCGCATGAGCATGGCATGGGAATGGAGCATGGTATGGGTGGAATGGAGCATGGTATGGGTGGAATGGAGCATGGCATGGGGGGCATGGAGCAGCACACTATGGGCATGGACCTTGGCATTGGCATGGGCATGGATCACGGAATGTCCACATATGTGCCGGCCCCGCCAGGGTCACAGGCCACGCCGCCAATGCCACCACCGTTGATGCCGTGGATGAGTGCACCGCAGCCACCGCCACCCGCCACCGAGCCGATGAATCCACCCATACCAGGCACATTGCCACCGCTCATCCCGCCGCCACCGGGCACCAGTGCACCGCCCATGCCGCCTTGGGGCAGTGGCTACAGCGGTTGGGGTGGCGGCTATGCGCCGCCTCCACCACCGCCCTGTGGCCCACCTCCCCCAGCCTTGAGCTTGTCACAGCCGCCACCACCGCCGCCGCCATCCATTTGACCACCACTCCCCGCGCTCTAGCTTCCGATGAATTGTACATCCAATGACGACAGTCCTCGACCACATGCGACTGTCCCTGCAATCAATTAATATACACCCCTTTGACTTTTTGCTTACTTTACAACATAATCTAATCGAGACAGGCCTACAAAACTAATTTGTATTTTATGATGCTTCAATAAAGGACGCAATTATTATACTACCAGATCGGAGATTTCAACGAGCCAACGAAGGGTGAATTCGATTGGTTCCTTTGCTTTATTATTGGAGTCTTTCTTGTTTGTGTTTGGTGAATGTTAAGGTAGAAAATATCTTGTATTAGGCCGATTCTTAACCATGCTTAGTGAAGTACTGTTTCGACTCTTCCACATCGGGCTTGATGGTGGCCGGGTTTGTCTTGGGATTCCAATTGGCCGGGCATACCTCGCCGTGCTGCTCCACAAACTGGAAGGCCTTGATCAGGCGCAGAACCTCATCCACAGAGCGGCCGACGGGCAAATCGTTGATCGAGTACTGACGCAGAATGCCATTGGGATCGATGATGAAGGTGCCGCGCAGCGAGATGCCCTCCTTCTCCAGCAACACATCGTAGTCGGCCGAGATGCTCTTGGTCAGATCGGAGAGGAGCGGATAGGTCAGCTGACCCACGCCTCCGTTCTTGCGGTCCACATTGCACCAGGTGAGATGGCTGAAGTGCGAGTCGACGGACACGCCCAGTACCTCAGTGTTGATGTCCTGGAACTCCTTGATGCGTTCACTAAATGCAACGATTTCGGTGGGGCAAACAAATGTGCTGTGCGGCAAAGAGAAGATGCAAAGGTTACATCGTGCTGATAAGCAACAATCCATCTTTGTGTACATACAAATCCAACGGGTAAAAGAAAAGCACCAGATATTTGCCTCTGTAGTCCTCCAGCTTGACCTCCTGGAAGCTGTTTCCCAGCACGGCCAATCCCTTAAAGTCGGGAGCTGGCTGCTGCACGCGAACGGTGCACAATGGAACAGCTAAAGGGGGAAAACAAAATTCCACAGTCACGCACAGAAGGAATACTAATGTTGTGGACATTGTACTGTACTCACTCTGATGCAGGAGGCGGGCAGCCTGCTTCTGCTGGCCCAGAATACTCTTGCCAAGCAATGGCACCTGAAATGCATAATAAATAGTTGGTACGATTTATTCGAGACCAAATTGACGCCGGGCGCTCATTCAATTACGTAATCGCAGGGTCATGTTTTTGCAAGTTCATGGTACATTCTATGCTCAACTTACGTTTCGAAGCAATGCGCGTCCAATAAAAGACATCTTATAGTTTGCAATCCACACTTAAAGGAATTCAATTGGGTTTTTTTTAAGTTAGTAAAGGTTTATTTATTTTAACCGGCACCAGCTGACAGCTGACAGAAACAGAGGAAAAAAATGACTTTAACCCACTTAGCCCCCATATATTTAAACAGGTGAGCAAACAGGTTAAATCGCAGAAAACAACACTGTTTGTAAAGTCTGTTTTATGGATACATTCCATCCTTCTTTTTTACGTCAAAGAAATTGACGACGATATTCTTCACCTAAACTGCGATCAAATATTTCAAGCTACATAGTTATGTGCGTAAATTAAAGTGCCCATTGGTCGACAATGGGCTAACCGGGTCCGTCCATGATAGGAAATCATATTCCTTAGTTTTGATATTCGCTTTAATTTTACCAGCTAGATAACACTCTCACCACTTAGCTTATAATTTTCTTTGATAGATGAATCAATTTTCTACGCGATTGATTCCTTTTAATAACTATTTTTAATTTAATTGTTAAGAAAATAAGGTTTAAGCAGAAAATGTTTAAGCTTAAAACGTAAGTGTGTACGGAATGAAACGTAAAGTGTGTTTGAAATGTTACGTCATTGTTGCTGGTCATCAGGGTTCAGCTATGAATACGCACATTTATATACCCTATTTATTTTAATTAATGCCAAATATATGGCAGTTTCAGGAAAGACCCAACTTTCGATTGGCACATCTGAAACATTTATATTTCAAATAAATTTGCAGCAAACAAATAATTTTATGTTGGGGCAAAAGTGCGGCACATTTGAACATTCTTTTGGGGGGACAGGACCTTTATACGTATCCCTATATTGTCTTTGCTGTCCACTGTCTATTGTCAGGAGTGGAAATAAGGAAATATAAAGGAAAGTGTAGCAAAATATTTACCACGCACTGAACACGTCGCACAATGGTAATGAGCTGCTTACATGTCCATCTATTTGCACTCATGTAGTTTTGTTCGCCGCTCGTTAATCTACTAAATGCCCAAAAGCGGCTCAGCATCAGCCTCGTTCTTGGTCCTCTCGCACACTGGAGGCGCACAAAGGGAAAGCGCAACGCGCACCCAAATAATGCTGCCCGAATTTGCTCTGGTTTTGTTGTCTTTTGGTTTGCGGGCAGGGCACAATGAAGGAAGGATCTTGATACTTTTGTGCCTTGTCAGATGCCGCCGGGTTCCATGATCCCCATTCAAACACAATGAATAGGCAAACTGCACATATGCATTCGATAACCCTCGCATACTCACATACGAGTACGAGCATAGACCTAAAAATGGCAAATATTTTTGCATATTTGGTCTAATGTTGGCAAAACATCTGACATCTCGATGGAAAAATGCCCATGCCCATGCCCACACACAGCGGCCTTTCTCTTCTCCTGCCTTTGCCAAACCCAAACCAGCTGCCCGCCCTGTCCCTGATCATGAGCTGAATCCATCTCTCTCCCCTCCTGGGGAGTGTGGGGCTCTTACTTTCCCGCAATTAGTCAATTCCCATGTTTGCAATTACATTCTGCCACCCTCCACCATTTGCCGCATCACTCGCTTTTCCCATCTTGCTCGTTTGCCTGCCTTTTACAATTTTGGCTGCTTTTCATCTGTAATTTGGCGCAAATTACGCGCTCCAAGTGGCTCCCAGCCCTGTATCCCTGTCCGTTCTTCCGCACGTCCATTCAGGCGCATTTGGTCGTTAACTTGTTTATGTGCTGGGAGGCTGGGCTCTGACTGGGCTCTGGCTGGCCTCTGGATGGGCTCTGGCTGGGGTATGAGTTAAAAGGAAACGCTAAGTAATTATGTGCAGCTTCCTGGGGCCCCCGAAAATTGTGTATCCCGTGGGGCACAACTCCACGGCCGTCCAACTGCCGGCCGAGTGATTGTGCTGACCTGGTCCGGTCCACGATTTTCCAGGAATTCCACGCGCACGGCACGGCAGTGCACTGCAGACAGACAGCTTGACTACTTTTACCAATTAAAATTGCACGTCGCTTTGTCTGCCCGGCCAGGTTTCGGAACTCGTTGCTCGGGATTCACATATCGCTTTCAATCCCCCGGCCCGCCCGCAGGATTTGCGCAGATTTACATAATTTAAGCAAACACCACTTGAAGATGTGGTCCTCGTCGCATCGGGCGTACGTGTGCCGTGCCATTGGGATCTCTGCTGGCTCAGCTCGGGGATTCTCTGAAGGCGTTGCCGACATTCACACGCACTTTCAAAGCTGCTCAGGTGCCGCTCGGTCTCTTTCTCCTGCCGCAGTCGCTGTCGCTGCCTCATCCTCAGTTTCATCTTGTCCTCATTGTCAAACAGATGCCGTCATATTAGCACAAATCTGCTTACGTTTTTGTTTCCCTCTCGAGTGTGCTCACCCAGAGATTGGCCCAGATTCCGAGGGCTCAGGGCGCTCTTGATTTGTGACAATTGTCACAATGCCCCTGCCCCGGCTTAGGCTCGAGGTGATGAGTGCTCCTGTTCGGAGCAACGCGTAATCCTGATGCAAATCTAGCTAATGTGATTCATATCAGTTGGAGAGATAGATAGAAATACCAAGGATCCTCAGTGTCCTCAGTCTCTCTCTCTCACTCTGTTCTCTCCCCATCTTCCTGCAATTTCTTTCTTTGATGCTCTTTTTTAACACTTTTGTGTTTGGAAATTCGAGATGTTTGCCAGTTAATTAAGAAAGTGTGCACACGGAGCACAATGCCGCATTCGGCATTGCCAAAGTATCGCATTCGTGGCGTGAGAATTGGGCTCCGTCTGAGACACTTCACACCTGCACTCCACCATCAGCCTTGCTGTCAATGACAAAAAATTTCTCCACTAGGGATATCAACTTCCAATAATTATTGGCTCTGATTGGCTGCATATTATTGTATTAGAGGACCTCGGAATATTGGCAGGAGTTTCCTGTTTAAGGTAATTGATTTACACAATACAAAACATTAAATAATGAAACAAGAGAATTTGATTTGGCAAATTACTCAAAATATTTGTTTTTTAGATAAATTTTGCTTTGCGGAATTTATCTTTATACTAGTTTTATATGTTAAAAATCATATGTATGTAGCTGGGTTATTTACTTTATAGATGTAGTACATATCCCTCCCTAGTTAACCAATTAGTCAACGTTAATAATTAATATTACCATATCAATTACCCTTTCAATCAAGTACTATGTGTGTACGCGTATCAGTACATAGATTAATTCACGTATTCATGGAATTTTCATTGCTTTTCCGATAATTTTCATAATATCAGCATTCATCCCACTTCGTATGGGCATATGTACATATGTATATATTTTTATGTATATATCCCCCCATACACCATCACACTCATTCTGGTTTGGCCAATCCCTTTCACAGAGAGAGATGCATTAAAATGGCGTGAAAATTATTGCCATTGATTTCTGCTGCTGTTGTGGCTGGCTACAATTTCCCCCAGCTCCCAGCGCCCAGCTCGCAGCTCGCAGCTTGCATGGCTTTGTTGTTATTGCAGCGCACAATTTGCAGCAATTTGAATACATTTATAAAAAGCGCTCTCGACCATTAATAATAATTGCTCTGGTTTAAATTTTAATGGCAATTGTTGGTAAACAAACGCGCACGATAGCAGCAGGGGCCAAGAGGGTTGGGACTGGGTGGATGGCGTGGATGTGGCTCCAACGTGGCTGCCAAAGGCGCCCCTGTTAATTTGTATTTATTGCAATGGAAAACTATATCGTATAGCATCGATGGCAGCAGCAGCAGCAGCGAAAAACAGCCAAAATGCATTTGCCATACGAGTGGGCGGGGGAAAACCGCCATAACCACAAACAAGAAAAAATAAGGCCTTTTATTTTGCCTTATCCTGGTAGATCGATCTTCTATAGTAATACGATTTTTATATATTAACTGAAGCTTGGAAAAAAATATGTTAAAATAGATCTGCAGCTGTTTAATAAAGTCTGTCTGGCTCCGACTTACAATAAATGCTTGTAGCTAAAGATGGGGCTGTGTAAAGTTCAGAAAAGAATCTTCCTACACTCTGCAGGGTTCAGAAATGTCTAAGAATGGAAAACACCTCGAGTGTTTAAACTCCGAAGCCCTCTACAAAGCCCACAGAACAATCCCCACCCACTTTCATAGGAATCTTTCAAACTCAAATGTAGGCAATTTTAATTTAATTTAAATACAAATGCCATTTTCCCCACTCTCTCTCTCTCTCTCTCTCTCTCTCTCTCTCTAGGCACACTTTTCCCGGGATGGCTGTTGATTTTCAAAGCAATCGCAACAATTCAATCACTTTGATGTTTGTTGCCCACAAAACGAGCGACTCTCTTGCCTACCCTGGGCACGCCCCCTAGTGTACCTCCCACTGCCCACCACTCTATCGAAACGAACGTATATTGACGCCCAGTTACAGACATTTAAGCGCCATAGTCGTCGCTTTTTAAACATCAATGCGATTGCATTTACCCCGACCACGTCTACAGCTCCGTTCCCAACACCCACGACACTCATCCATCCATCCATCCAGCCTGTGGACAGGAGCTGGTGGCAGCAGCATGTAATTTCTTTAATGGTTTTTCCCTCTCGTCCCTTGCCCGCCCCCCTTCACTCACTCACCGGTGCCACAATTCAAAACGAATGTCCCAAAATGAATAAAAAATCAAATTTCAAATGAAATAAGGTGTACAAAATGGAAGAAAACGAACACCGAAAACAAAAGGAAGCCTGCAGAGGTGTGGTGGGGAGGGTGCACAGGTGGTCATGGTCGGAAACGGAAGTTGGTTGGCACTCAATTAGTTGGGGGAGTTGGCCATGGCTCAAGTAGATTGTGTGTGGGACACTTCCCCGCACTTCTCTATGCCCAATTTTCTAGTTTAAGCTAAATAGTAAAAATATTATAACAATGATTCAACTGATCAAACGCCAATAGTTTCATTAATTTAATTGAAATATTTAGTTCGTTGTTTAAGTTTTGTGGAATATTCAAGAAAGAATACAGCGTTGATAATTATGTTCCGCTGTAACTATTTAATTATAGCTACACTGATAGAAAAAAGGTAGCAATATATATAATAATAATAACTACAATCATATTTGAATTTAAAAT